CTTTCCCTAATACTTTAAAAAAAGAGCTCTCTTGATATTAATCTCTGGTGAAATCCCCAGTAATGCTGCCCTCCTTGCTGAGCTCTGTGCAGCTTTTCTGTTCAAGCTCTGCCTACGTCTTCCTCCCAGCCCACCCCAACAGCTGCATTTGTGCTTCCTGCTGCAATGCCCCGAGCGTGTTTCTACTTCCCTTAATTGCATCTGCTCAATTCCTTCTCTCTCCGCTTTGAACTTTTAAGAAACTTCTGCCAGGTCACCCATCTTTTTTTTCTTCCTTAATTTCTTCCATGGCTTAGAAATGGTCTTTTATTTTCTTTATATTGGCCAGGTTGGGCCAACCAGTTCTGTCCACCTGCAGGAAGAAGCTTCCATAGTCACCGCTTTTTTTGTGTTGTAACAAAAAATCTGGGTCCTGGCTGTGTGCGGTATTGTCGGAAGTGAGATGGTGAAGGGGTAAAATGCATGAGAATTTAACTAGAATTTAAGCAGAAAAATGTACTTCTGATTCTAGATATTTGAATTTCTTTTAAAATATTTGTTTTGATCTTTAGTGCCTCTGCATAGTAATGCAGTAGGTGCTGTGCTTTGCATATGGTTTGAATATTAATGTGCTTTAACACATCGAAGAGCTCTAGTCGCAGACTAGAACTCCCTTTTTAGAGACTTTTTAAAAGGAAGAATTTAGCCTTTGCTCCACTCCTACGATTAAGTATGAAAAGAAAGCAGGAGGTGGAATTTAATGAGGCCGTTCTGGCTGTACAGTGTTGTAGAGAACAGGACAGACAAGGTGCTCCACTGTGCAGCTTCTTACTGGGAGGGTTTAATAGAGAAGAGGGAGCCGGACTCATCCCATGGGCGCACAGTGAGGGGACAAGAAGCAATGGGGACAAGCAGGAACATGGGACACCTTGGTTAAATTGAATTTTTTCTTTACTGTGAGGGTGAATATCAAGCACTGAAACATAGGACCAGGGAGGCTGTGGGATCTCTGTCATTGGAGATGCTCAAAACTCAACTGGGTGAGGCTTTGAGCAACCTGCTTTGAGCACAGGCTTGGGCTCAAGACCTTTTCCCACCTGAATTCCGCTGAGATCCTGTGATAACGCACATGTATCTTCACTGGTGTGACTCTCTCCTTTCTCACAACCCAGGGGAATGACGATGACCAGCCTCCTGCCTTCAGCAGGGGACGGAAACTGCTACTACATCCTGACAGAAGACTGTGCCTACGGCAGCAAGTACTTCCAAGCTGGGAACATGTGCTTCTGCAGCGAGAGAAATTACCTGCGTAACTTCTCCGATGACAGGCCCCCAGCTTGCTTCTTGAAAGTCATCATGCTGGATGACAGCTCCACCGTCACAATAAATGTAGAAATCCTTCAGCCTGTGCGTGAGGAGACGGCCATCTTCCTCCTGGCTATCAGCAGCCACAACGAACGCTTGAACTACTTCTTGGAGAGGTTGAGCCTTGAAGCAGCTCTGCGGGCTGTGCCAGGCCAAAAAGTGATGGTGGAGGTTGACCGGCAGTATTTCCCTGGTATCATCCGCTACATCGGGAGCATTTACAAAAACACTTCGGCTGTGCTGTCTCCTTTCTTCTTTGGGGTGGAGTTACAGGTAAAGTGGCCAAGAAAGTAAGTTGCTTATTTCGTCTTTATGTTTGTGTATGTAATGTGCCTTTCTGGTGTGTTTTCAGGGTGAGGGTGAAAACAGAGGGCGCAGCGATGGATCTTATCATGGCACTGAGTATTTCAAGTGTAAACGGAACTGCGGGATCTTCCTACCATTTAGCAGAGTCCAGTTTACTCCCGTGCCGGATGACGACTATGTGAAACAGAAGCCAAAACCAGCCACGGAGGAGGGCGTTCCTGTGAAAGTGGGAGATGCAGTTAGCTTCTACGTGGATGAGGTCCTCACAAAAGGAATAGCAATGGCAGTTTACAGGGAGGGAACACAATGGTTCGTCAAAGTTTGTCCGGTACGAGCAGTCTTGCTGCCTTTCCTTGGTTTTGGGGGATTTTTTTAAAAACTATGTTATGGTGGGACGTGAGAGAAGTGGAAGGAATGTCCAAAAGAGACATGAGGTTACATGCAAACTTCCCAGGCCTATTTAAAAA